CTGGAACAGGTTGCCTAGAGAGGTTGTGGATGCCCCATCCCTGGAAATGTTCAAGGATGAAGCTCTCAGCAACCTGGTCTAGTGGAAATTGTCCCTGTCCATGGTAGGGGGGTTGAAACTAGATGATCTTTAAGGTCCTTTCCAACCCAGGGTATTCTATGATTCTATGATTCCCTGATTCTGTGGTTAGAGCCGCTTTTCTCAAAAAATTCTACAAGATTACCCAAAACCTTTACTGATATTAGATGTCACCAAGCACCTACTTTTTGCCAGCGAAGTAGTCTGTTTGCTTTACAGTTGCCTTCAGTCTAAAGATGCTAGCAGCTCCACGGTAGATATTAGCAGCTTGACACCACTGAGCAACTTGGCAGCAGTCATATGTAAACCCAACTTTCACCATTTGCTGACCACTAGAAATCAATGCAAGATGATTTTTCACATCCTGGGCCAACAGCTGCAACCTCACAGCTGGAGAGCAATAGGATAAACAATGGTTGTTGAGCTCACTCTCCAAATAATGAAAAATTCACTGCTGTGTTTTTCAGCGGGACTGCCCAAGTCCAAGTTATGGTTTGGAGCTGGCACTGTTCATCTGGTGAGAGTCCTGGCAAAGCCTGGATTAGTTGACTACATCTACGATGAGACCCTCAGACACCCACTCTTTGTGCTGTCCTATAGGTGAGACAGCCTTCCCCTAGGTTTAGCACTTAGCCTATTTCAATTATTTTCACAAATTGCAGGAAGATGGGTGTGCACAGCTCTCTGCAGAGATGTTAAGCCACCTTCTGAGAATAAACTGAAGAATGTTGCTTATTTTTGACTTGAAAATTCTTCAAAACCTTGCCCTACAAAAAGCATTTTGCTTTCTGTCATTGTGCCAAACTATTGTACACATAAAAACAACATCAGAATTAATTTTGAAATCAATTATCCTTGAAAATATGTGATTAAGAAAGCAAGTACTCTTCCTGGTTTTATTTTCATAATTGAAGAATGATCGTTAGCAATTCTTTCTCAAAGTGAAAATATCTGCAATCAGACTAATTACCAAAAAGTAGAAAGTACACATTTTGTTGCTTCTAAAGGGAATGGAAAGGATTTAGTCTAAATTCATAAAAATTACCTCAGGATGGTACAATATTCTCCATTCGCTAACATTTATACTTATATTTAGATTAGGGTTTATAATGTCAATTTTATTTAGAGTTGGAGAACATGTAATTATACACTCAAATATATGTTTATCTACCTTTATAGAAAATATAAGTCCAAGAAGCCATATGGATTTCAATTACGCTATATACCTTGCACAGCACAAACAGGTAGTCCATAAAAATTAAAGTGTGTTAGTGTAATTGCAGACCAAGAATCCACTGTTAGACACTCTGCCATCATATTTCTTCGTAGCTTAATTAAAGACAAAATCATCTCTTAGACCTGTAGAGGGACTTAGAAAGAGCTTGAGAACTTGGGAAACAGGAGGTACATTGGTAGTCTGTTGTAGCAGAGGTAGAACTGGCTGAATAAACTCCATTTCACTATAGCTTTTGAAGGTTTTAACTTGTATTTTTGTCTCCACTTGTAACAGTACTGACGCACAAGATTTTCTGTTTGAGAAAACAATACAGAACAAGCCTGCAAGCTTTAGTTAGGAGCTGGAGGAGTTAGTTTGTAGTCTTTCTTTTGAATAGAGGAGAATATTTTTTTTACCAGAGCTCCATGAATCACATAGCAGAAACCTAGCTACATCTACCCAGTATCTCCTGGATTTCTTCTGTGACCGTCTTGAATGGTTTTGACAAAACAATGTATTACAACATAAATGCCCCTATACAAAATGTTCTAACTCTAATTAGAGTAGTCATAAAATATCTAGACACAGAGATATAGGCATGAAAATAGGCAAAATGCTGACTTGAATTCATATGCCTTTCTCACATTCTTAATATCAATTATGGAACAAAAGATACAACCGTGAGGATAATTATGTCTGATTCCCATGAAACAATCACGACGACTGGATGTGATGAAAATCTCATAAGAAATTATTTAAAATTTTTCCACTGCAAACCTCTTCAAAAGTCTAGAATGACATAAAATGTAAGGAGCAATCAAAACTAAAATCGTCTATTTTCCTCCTAGGCAGGAATATTCCAGCAAAAGTTTTTAGTGATAGACACTTCATGGCTAGAGACGGCAGTCTGCAAATTTTTCCTTCAAGTGGTTTCTTGCTGATATTCAAGACAAATTTTCTATATATTTTTCATTTCCCATCTTCTAGAATGTAAAATAAATAATTTGTCCTCCTCCTTAGTATAGAGTGGATTTCTAATCCTTCTACCTTCTTAGTTTCTCCATTTCTTCAATGCCAGGTTTTATCTTTGGTGAAATCATGATGGACATGGAATTAAAATATCTGTTTCCCCAGCAAGAACTGTAACAAGGAAATGATCAGGAGAGGAAATAATATCTGTACAGTCAAAAGACATTAAAAGATCACACTAGTATTTAGAGTGGAATTGGCCAGAACCACATAGATCAAATATGTAAAACCCTTACTTCTGCTGATCTCCTCTTTATTCCTATGGTTCTTTGACTGGTTTGGACCAATGGTGTCAGTTCCTTATTTCTTACAGTAAACATTTGAGAGTTTACACAGAGCATTAGTTCCCAAATAATATAGCAGTAGTTCCCAAATAGCTTTTCTTAGTAGGTATTATGGGGGAAAGCTTTAAGGTATAGACCTTCTGCACTGCATACATATGGCCCAGTATAAATCTTTTGGCCAAGGGAGCATGGGGTCAAATCTTTCCCTGGTGTTGTGCATGCTTTCATTTTGCTATTTTGAAATTCTAATTTCAATCTCTCTAGGTTACTTTACTCTGTTTCCTTGTATTTTAAAAATTCTTATGACTTCTTATTTTATGATCACCTGAGACTACTGCATACATATCTTTGAAATACTATAAATATCAAGGGATGCTTTTCATACTTACCCTTGAAATCATATTCTCTGTCATTGTCCTGGGCAGGTTTGGATGCCATCAACACCACAATAATCAATTTCAATAATGAGAAGATGCAGATCACATGGGCCACAAGAGAGCTTTTTCACAATGAGAATGTGTCATTTTCTTACACGTGAGTATTGTCAATGCCCATTCTTCTCTTTTTAAGGGTTTACTTTGGGACAATGAAATATCTAAGTCCATTTGAGTCTTCTGTGAACTGAAAATGCTTTTAACATTTGTTAATATCCAGCATGAAACCTGCCACCACGTACACTGCTACAGAAGTGTACAAATCAACAAGCCTGGTGAGTAGCCTGTCACCACAGATATTATGTGAAAGATTTGTCCCTCTTCTGCCATTGTGTTAAGTGGCTAATGCAAATTACAGTATCGAAAAGGGGATTTCCACATACATGTTTATATTTTCTTTATTAATTGACATAATTAATGACTAACAGAAATTTAATATTTTTAATATTTTTAATATTTTTAATATTTTGGTTAAAGTCAGTCATAATGATTAATCTTTTGCTATTGAATAGTACATGTGAAAGAACTTTTGGCAGTATATTCATGGAAACAGAATCACAAAAGCATCTGTTTGATCAAGTAATTCTCTTATTAGAAAACAACAGCATGAAGGAAACTTACGTCAGATTGCATCAAAACCTAGGGCTGGAAATTTAATGAGGTTTGAGTGATGAATTCCCTTACACTGCTATGAAATTTGTCATTTCAAGATATTCCATGCTCAGACTTTCCTTGGTAGGAACATTTGTGGAAAAAAAAAAAGAAAAAAAAAAAAAAAAAAAAAAAAAAAAAAAAAAAAAAAAAAAAAAAAAAAAAAAAAAAAAAAAAAAAAAAAAAAAAAAAAAAAAAAAAAAAAAAAAAAAAAAAAAGGACGAGAAAAATAATAACAGTAACAAAAATTAATTGAATTGACAAGTGCTATTTGATAAGTTGTCCATTTACCAATATTATTTCATTTACAGATTTGATGAAGGCAAGCACAAAGTTTGGAAGCCATGTCCCACATATTTATTGGATCACAATTATAATACTGGATGTCTTTTTAAGACAGAAGGCCCCACCCTTGCCATCTCTATCAGGAACAGCAACGGAAGTGAAGAGCTTTTTTCTAAAAAACTAAAATCTGATTTTTATAGTAAGTATGTAAAGTCACAACTACTTTGGTAGTCCCAGTATCCTCACTGATTCTCCAGTTGTCTGAGTTTGGGAATAAATTAGTTATATCAACAGATAAAATGTTATTTGTGTGCATGTCAAAACAAAACTATACTTTTCCCTTGCTGTCACCAGTGTGCAGCTGCAGCTAAGTGAGATAGCACAGGACAGTCAGATTTGTCACAAAACACAATTTCAAAATCAGAATGAAAATACAAAAAAAAAAAAAAAAGTAGGTGTACTTTGTCTAGTGCAGGCCTGCTTGGTATTTGCATCAGGAAAATTAACAAAAGTTGATAGTTTTAGTGCTGACTGTGTGATCTTTCTCATATTTTCAACTTTCCATTATTTTGTCATCTTCCATGCAATGTGGGGCAGCAAACTACTTCTTATCAAAGATGCTGTCACAAAAGCATTATCAGATATCAGCAGAAATTAGTTGATGAGTTCTGGTACAGAGTAAAAGGGACATCCTACTACTAGTAGAAAGACCACATTCCTCTTTCTGTTAAATCCTTCCTGTCCCCAAATACATATTTCACATCGAGTGTGCGATTAGATTATCAAAATCTTCTGGAATTTCACATAGTTACAACATTTCAAGTGGAAGGATTTTTCCCTAATAAAAATCTCATAGAAAATATACATCTGAGAATTTTCTGGAAAAAGAATGTATTCCAAATTGATTATAATGTTTCAGCAAAAGGCATTAAACAAAAGTCTGTCAAGGCATTGAATTTTGAGAATACTTTTATATATCATAATTCTTACAATATCTGTTAAATTATGTAAAACTGCAGCCTGATCCTCAAATTTTGGCTATTAAACACCCACTGATATTAAAATGAATGTTATCTAACAAGGGTTAGATAACAAAGCAAAAATATCAAGCATCAGACTAAAGTCTTTAAATTAGGAGGGCAGTGTTTTCATAATTTGAAAAGGGAACTAGGACTGAGAAAGTGGGTAGCAATCTCCTCACCCCTTCATTTCCCACTACTGAAGACTAACCACCTGTGTAGTTCAAACTATGTCATTGTCTTCTGACCACCTGAGAAGAGTGACGGGCAGATTCAGTTGTGCACAGGTAGGAACCCAGTGCTTTTTGCAGTTGCCCCACCACGTCCCATGCAGCCTCCAGCAGCTGCACAGGTGCGTCTTGGAGTCTTTATGATACCGAAATTGTCACTTTGTTTCCAGTGAAGAAGCCTTTAAGTAGGTTCCTGACATGAGATAGTAACTACCTTTAATGTGGCACCTTGAATAGTGAGCAGTGTTGTGGTGTCAGGCTCCACTCTGATGGTCAATAGTGAGATCAGACACAAAAGCAAACCCAACAAGAAGAAAGTCCACCTTCTTCAATTACTACTCAGGGAAACATTGAGACAAGGAAGGAACAACCATAATTTTATCCGGGAGGTGCGTGTTTTTCAGAGTCTATAGCAAAATTTATTTCTGTTCTTCTTAGTAAAGCCCAATCCACCAGAAAATGTGACCTTCTTCTGGAAAGAGGACACAGTTACAGTGAGCTGTAATAAACCAGAGAGAGCTGTGAAGTGCTTGAATCTTGAGCTTCAATACAAAAGCACGTTTGACAAAGAATGGCAAGTGAGTTGAATGCCCCATTTTTAATCAACATTGGAAGGAGCTGGAAATAGCATCTCCATAGAATGCAAAATAGAGTTGTTTTCAAATTGTTCTCCTGCCCTGTATTTTCAAATAAGACTGATAGCAGAAAACATCTAGATTTTTAGGACCCTGGATACCTGCAATGCCAGAAATAATTTATTTTATGAGTTATATCCAGTTGCTACCCAAAGTGCTAAGGACAGTCTAAGGGAAAGGTCTCACATTCAGAAAAGAAGAGTATGGAAAGATAAAAGAAGAAATCAGAGTAGAGAAAAGAGAGAAAAATAAGAAAAACTAATTAAAAAACCCCCGAAGTTACATGTTTTTTTTAATTTATTTTAAAATTTGCTGCTATTTCAAAATATTATTTCATCAACCTAAATCTTTCCATTTTCAAATAAAACATGTAGATATTTTGTGGATAGAAGTTTATTTGTATTTTGTAAATATGCAGATGTAACACAGTGCATGACGTAATAGTTGTTATGACCTTCAACTCAGTATCTTACAATGTGGAATAGATATGAATAGTAAAATGTCAATCAGGAAACAGAATTCCTTGAAAAGCAGAGCAGTCAACATTCAGTTCTGGGGCTCTGGGTTGGTCTATCCCTTGTCCTACTTGTGACCGTGACTGAGTGTAGCTTTCTGAAGCACTGCCTTGAAAATCCGAATTAACGACGATACACCTTCCTTCTCAGTCCAGAACTTCCAGATGTTGCCATGTTGGAGATCAAGGCTTTGATTCAAGGAAATGCTATTCTTTCCGGGTCAGACTGAAGAGGCTAGCACCCCACTGCAATGTAGTTGTTTACAGCAGTGACTGGGAAGCAGAAACATTTTGGATGAATGGCACATTATTAGGTAACAGCTTTTTTATACATATATGTGTATGTGTGTATATATAGTCCAACTGCAAAAGGGGAAGGGATGACTGCAGAAGAGGCTGGGAACACACAGCAAATGAATGTTGCACTATTGTGCTCCATCTTCTGTTATCAAGGAAAGTTCATGTGGACTTCTAATTGCCCAGGTTTAACTCTGTCCGCTTTGTTCCTCATGGCCCATAATGCAATCAGTTTATGTAATAATCAGCAAAGTTAAGAATATTCTTATTATTTGTGTTACAAGAGTGTCTCTCAGTAACAGTGATGTGATACACAGTGGTTCTGTGGATGTGGGTGTTGGGAGGGTGCCCTCATAGGATATTTGAACAACAAACCTGAACTCTAAGAAAACCCTCAATGCCCCATTTTTGAAGACAGTTTATTTTGAAAGTATATCCAGTTGGACTAATGGACCAGAGATCACAGAAGTCTGATGTTCATAGGTGCTGGATGGATGGAAACAGGGATGACCGGGATAAAGAGATTAAATGGAAGCAAACTCAGTATCAGAACTGCTTTCCCACCAGACAGATACATTAGAATGTGATGAATTTCGATTAGATCTTTGGTGAAACAGTTTTTCTACAATCAAAACCAAAACCCAGATTTACTGTAGGCTTTATCAGAATTATGAGACTCTCAGATGTCCAGTGCACCAAGACCTGAGTTCTCTAAAGTGCAGTGGGCTATTAGATCACTTGAAGAAAATCTATATATGCAAAGCTGGGATGAAATCCTGGAACATAGATATGTGTACCCCGTGCAGTAGTGACCACAGTGCTGACCTCCACCATGTAAATTGTGAGCCTACGAGCGTGTCCTCAGGTGTGTCTGGCAAATGCCCCCAAGGAAACACAGAGGACAATGTCTTTCTATGCACTTCTGAGAGGGGACCACATACCAGCCCTACCTGAACCATTTGACCAGAGGCTGCCAGCAGGTGCCTGCAAGGAATGAAAACACAGAGGAGACAGACTAATGGTTCAGGGACTTTGGGTTTCCCTGGATCAGAAGTCACACTGACCTAGCCCATTCACTGGGTCAAGTCCTTCGCTTTAGGACTTTAATGAGTTATTACTGACTCTGAATCTAACATCACAGCAAGCCACGAGCAGAGATGGGCTCAAGAAATTTCATAAACTCTGAAAACCTTACTTAGGGGTCACAACCTGACTTGTGGGCTTCCTGGCAAGCTGAACAGAGCAGGCAGGTAGGTTTAACAATCTAAACAGTTGCTTCTATATGAATAATCACTTAGTTTTTATAGTATTTATGTGGAGACCAGAAGGTTAGTAGTAGGAGGCAGAGTCTTGAGGTTGCATTGCAAAAGCCCCAAGAATACATGGAATGCAGAAAAATGCAAAAACACCTTTTTTTTTTTTTTTTTTTTGGTACCTGTATGTTAGATGTTATCCTGCCACTAGTTACTTTCTGGGTATAAGCTCTTGCTTGTGGTTTGCTAGCTCTTTGTTTGCTAGAGTTGTTTATTTGGTTTCTGCTGGGAGATAAGACATTTAGGCTGCATGCAAAATAGCATTTGCAGCTTTAATGATAGTAAGTAGGGATTTGTAATACAGATCTTAGCATAGAGATGCTTTGTCTCTGTCAATGCAATATGATGAAGATGAGATGAAATACTTGATTCATTCATAATGCATCTGCCCTTCCTGTAAGCCCTATTTGTCCCAAATCAGGACAATTTCGATAAATAAAAGCACAGTTTTCTTCTGTTGAAAAGTTTGGGGAAGTATAGGTTTTCTTTTCAGTATCAATTGACCAAGTAAATTTCTTTTATTTGTTCTTAAAAACTTTTCTGAGCTTTTTTTTTTTTTTTTAAGAAAAGTCAACATTCCAGCATGATTAGAAACATTTACCATTAAAGCAAAAAATAATTTTTTGACATATTATTTTTGTGATTATTCTTAGATTCATGTGATGATGATAGAACCTCTCAGTCAAACACAGTAATTGTTTTAAGTTCTTTACTGGCAGTACTTCTAATGATGCTTGTCCTCCTGATTCTTCTGTGTAAACAGCAGAGGTAAATATAGTTTTATTGGTTAGTACTAACTAACATGTCACGAAAATGCAGCTATTATTCAGGATCAAGTCTTAACAATCAAAATTCCTATCAGATAAATGAAGTCATTGTGAAGATGTTAAAGTCAGTAGCTTAATTACTATGAGGAATAATTCATCCTGGCCTTCCAAACACCACGGCCTTTAATTTTCAAAACCAAAAAAATTCTGGTAAAAGACAATGTTTCAGGTTAAAATTCTGTCTCTTCCATTTAAATTATTTTCTTTTTTTTTGGGAAATATAGTTGAATCTTGGGAAGTCTATATTTTACTTACTTCTTCTGAAAGGACATTCTTTTGTCAATCTTCATCAAACTCAATGTCTTTTTGCACCAGGATAAGATTGAGTGCATTTAACTTTAATAAGACAATATCAATATTTGGATCTGCAACAGAATGATTCTGCTCATGTTTAGAATTTGCAATTGAAAAAAACCAACGAAAAATCAGCTACCAAACAACAAGCAAAACTTGTGAAGACCTCAGATTTTGTTTTTTTACTGGGGAAAAAAAGGCGAAAAATGCAATATTTTTGGAGATGAAGGTATTTGGGACTCTGATCACACTTTAAGATCATAAATTGAGTTTATTTTCCTGTGCTTCTGTGTTTCAAATTTACATTTATGTTCACTAAGTCAGCCAGTACAGCTGGTTGCTGCACCATCTTCCCTGTCTGGGTATATGTGCCCAGAAAATGCAAAGCTCTGCTAGTGCATAGAGCAGAATGGCACTTACTGACTAGCTGGAAGTTTGTAGAAAGTCCAGATTTTACTAGAGTGGAGTTGGGTCAAACATTTATCAGAAAAACTACCCTTAGCCCGATGGTGTTATCATACTGCTATAAGCGCTTTTTTGACTTTAGAACACACTTAAAAGAAATCAAGACTAGAGTACTGTCATGTAAAATATATCTATGGGTACAGAACTGTGCTGAAGTAGATTTTTGTATGACTGGCTATGTTATAATGAAACATCAATTTGTATTTTTCTTTATTTTTTGCAGGGTGCAGATGTCAGTAATACCAGCTATACCAGATCCAAAATACATATTTGCTGATCTCTTAAATGATCATAATGGAAACTTCCAGGTAAGCATCACCTTCTTTGCTGTGCTGTAAACTCTACAGTGTTGAGAATAATTTAAAAGTAGCTACTGATTCTTGCTCTGTCACAGGCACAAGCACAAAAAGACCCAAGACAAAAGCCCCAAAGTCCTTGCCGTTGAGCATCATCACCAAGAGGATCCACAGAGCAAATACCAGGGCTTATACAATCAATGCAGTGCTGCTTTGGCACTGTGAAAAGACACTTGCTATGAGAGACAGAGAATCTGCCAGAGAAGAATTTAAGGATGTCCAGAGGCACAATATCCACTGAGATGACATTGTAGTGTTTGCATCCATTCCTGCACTTGATAGGTCAGGGAGTTTGCTTCTGCCTGGTCTTGTGTTTTATTTTTGTGAAGTGGTGAGAGAGTGCGTGCTGAGCCAGTGATGGCACTCATGTTTTTGGAGGCATCAGTCACACTAAGAAGCATCCTTTCTTAGCTATAGAGATGCATAGTCACTAAACCATTAGACACAGAATGGCTAACAAATGAATAGATTACGATTTTTACTTTTGCTTTCTTAATGTTTCTCGTAAGTCCCTGACATCACATCTGTGGTGTAGTTTTCTGTATTAGATGTTTTAGTGTTTACCTTAATCACTACTAGGTTTCCTCTGAGGGGAAACAGGTCATTGTCATTTACACTGACAAACCCAATGATAATATCAGAGCAGTAATAATTTTTCCATAACAAGCTGAAAAGTTTTTGTATATGATAGCTTTAAACTCAAATTGAATGAAAAAGATATAAATTCAAATTAATATTGAAGCTTTAATACAGATATGCTATGTTGCCTAAATCTCCATGTAAACTCAGTCCTAATTTAGATTAAGTCAGGGCTTGGGTCAAAGAATGCATAAGTATGTCAAGGAGGTAGCACCGGATATTTCGCACATTCAGGTTTTCAAAAGGCCCTGACCAAATACAAAGATGTATTTAATGTGGTCTTGAGATTAAGTGGAGTGTTTATGCTGTTCTGGAATCCTGTTTGTTTTATTTTGATTCTGTCTTTTTTCCATCCTATCTAATATCCTGCTTGTCTATATTGCTTCCTCATCATCTTCTCCATTGTGGCTTATCCTGGAAAGATACCAGTAAGAAAGAAAAACCAGAGTCTGTACAACCAGGTTTATTTTGATTGATATCTCATGTCTGCCAACACCAATGTTTTAATTTTCCTAGGAATGGCTAGATAAAACTGATCATGTGGTGCTGCAAACCAAGCTAGAATATGAAGAGCCAGAGTGCATCACAGAGGCAGAAAGCCAACAAGAAGATGAGAAGAACAGTGACAAACAAGGGCCTTTGGAAAAAATCATTGCTTCTTCAGGAACGGCTGAAAATAGTGACCCCAAAGCAGCTCAGATTGCCTGCCTGATACCAGCACCCAACAGTATAACTTCTTTTGCTGGCTTCCATATTTTAATGAATGACGACATGTATGTGACTTTGTAAAATCTGCAAAATGCAGAAGGTGTTAAGAAATTACATAAAATATCCTGATGAGTTTAGGGGAGTGGTTGAATAGAAAAGATCATTATGATAAGATTCACTTCAACAAAGGCACTGGGCTGTGTCATCTCTTTTTGGATCTGTACTTTCCCAACAGTTATGATAACTTGGGCAGACTCAGTGTCTGAAACAAAATCCTGATCCTTTATAGACCTAGGATTGTTCTTCTAATTGGGGTTTATCTCTAAGAATAAACTGAGCCCTATTTTCCCCTATGGACAGGAGAGGACAAGAGGTCCTCCTTAATAAATGTCAGTAGAGCTGAGACTTAGTCCTTATGCTTATGGAGCGTAGAGCAGTGCAAACTACACTGTTGCTCTTCCCAAATGAAGAGGGAAAATGAAGAGATTTTGCTGTCTTACAAAGACCAGACCATATACTGTGCTTTTTCACAGCGACAGGATACTGCTTTGCAAGCCTTCCTTAAGCTAGAGGTTCTTGCTCTTGCAAACTGCTTCTCCCAGTGTCTAACTTTGCACTGCATGACATGCCTTAAAGGTTTTGCTGGAAGCAATAAGGCCCATGTCTAAGAACAAAAGAGGGAGTATATACAGGATTGAATAATATTTTATCCTGCAAGTAGTGCTGCAAGTAGCTTCCTATAGAACAGGACAGGGCTTCAAGTGCCTCATCTGGAGGTCAGGTCCTCCGTATCCTACAGTCTTTGTACAGTCAACATATTATAGTCTTTATTCTAGAGCTGAGGTTCATTTTTAACAGTATTTGTGTTTGAATGAGTAGCTTTTGTTTCAAACTGGGGTTTGGTGCAAGCAGCAGCTGTAGATTCACACTAGGATTTACTCATATTGTGTATACTAGTTTCTTGGTTTTCTTTAGAAAATGTTTGCTTTGTTTTGGTTTTTGTTTTTGTTTGTTTTTTTTTTTGTGTGTGTGTTTTTTAACAAAAAAAAAAAAGTTTCAAAAAACAATCTTAGAACAGTGTTCTAAAATTTTCTAAACATACCATAGTTTAAACCTGGAAATTTCACATATCAAAAAACTACAGTGATTAGTAAAGAGTTTTGAATTCAGGGCTTTAAAAAGTTAAATTTCAGATCTTTTTGAGAATAGGAAATAGTAATCTAGATGATTAAGTCTCAAAGTCTGTTTCTAGGTGCCCCAGTTTCCTGTACAAGGAAAAATCTAGACATTTTCTGGACAATAACTGGAAAACTTATTTGAAAGGATAGTTTAGTCACATTGTCCAACATTTTCTTGACATTGCCTCAGATTTGACTCTTCACTTCCAAGATTAACATAGTGACAGAGGATTTCCCATAATTACAAGAACAATTTGGCCTTGTCCTCTCTAAAACAGATGTATGCAAATTTTCAGTGTTTTTTTGTAAGCCCTGCACTTTGAAAATTTTTCTGAAAGGTAAATGTGCAAAATTTCATTAGCAATGTAAGAATGCATTGAATTTTAAGCTAATTCAAGTGAAATAAAATTTGATGAGCAGAGTCTATCTCAGCTCAGTTCTTATAGGATATAAATTGGTATTATTGCATAAGAACCAGATACTGTGAATTACAACAGACAAGAACCTGCTCCAGTAATGATTATATGAATAAAGAAGAAAAACCAGAATATATTGCTTAGTTGCTTCCTCTTCAAACCATGCATAATATATGGTTGCCTGCAGAGTTGGCTAGATATCTTAAATGAACCACTTTCAACTGAGCAAATACTTGTCTGTCTGAATTCAAAATTTTTTAGTATATTTTCCTGAAAACTTATTGTGTAAAAAAAAAAAAAAAAAAAAAAAAAAAAAAAAAAAAAAAAAAAAAAAAAAAAAAAAAAAAAAAAAAAAAAAAAAAAAAAAAAAAAAAAAAAAAAAAAAAAAAAAAAAGACAGTAATGTTGAGTTGTTCTGTTTAAGCAGCATTCCTGAACTAAAATGCTATAGTCATGTAAGTTTTTAATACAGACTAGTATGATTTATAAATAAAAATGTTCTTTTCATGCATGTATATAACCATATATACATTGTATATAAAAAAGGAAATAAAACAAATGAAACACCCAAATATCTCAAACACTTATTTAAAAAATGTCCCCTCTGAAGAAAACAAAAGGAATTACATTTAAAACAAAACACTTTTTTCTCCCCCCAAAAAATGAGAAGGAGGCTACACAGTAACTTTCAAACCTTTCTTCTTATTTATTAAAAAATTGTCATGTTCTTCAAAGGCATGAGTCCCTCAGATGCTACATCTTGGTCCCTAATTACAGGAAATCATGTTTTTATTAAAACAAGTAACAGAACTTACTAAAGCCAGTCTTGTACCTTCTACTTTCTTTTTTTTTTTTTTTTTTTTTTTTTTTTTTTTTTTTTTTTTTTTTTTTTTTTTTTTTTTTTTTTTTTTTTTTTTTTTTTTTTTTTTTTTTTTTTCTTGTGTGGATTGGTTAGTTTTTGTCTGCTTTTTTAAATTAAAATTGTGGTAATGAATTTTCTTAAAGTGTACTTACAAAAGCCTTCAAAACCATTTCGACTTTTTTTTTTTTTTGGTGACTTACATTTTAACAGTTACTAAAGTCAAACAAGCAAAACACAGTTTACTTTGCTTTTTCCTTTTTCTGCAAACAATGTGAGCTGCAAAGGTGAAACTGGAGGGCCACACTTATTGAATGCTTAAAAAACTGTACTAGATAAAATGTTTTGGGGTTTTTTTGGAAAATACACACAGGTCTAAATTTGTCAAAATACCAATGACAAATAGTCAGCATTTTCCATGGGAAAAGATGATGTGACCCCTACTGACCTTTTGTGACTATCTAAGTAGAGATCTGTCACTGACTAATCTAGTGGTCGAAAAAACAGTATTGTGCAATAAGAGAAGAAATGCAATAATAACTCCCCCTTTCCTGGAAATTTTTTGTAACCCTTATGATTTGAGAGCTGGTTTAGTGTCATCTGCAGGTCTTGCTCCTGCTTGGTTTCTTGCTGGCAACTACCGGCACAAGGTTTTGTGGGTGGGAAATAGCAAGTGTACACTCACCCTGAGCAATAACAGGTTCCTGCATCCACTTTCACCATATGACAAACTTGGAGAGCAGATCCTAATTTGCAATGTGAGAAGCTGCATCTCTTTGGGGTTCCTCTCTCCTCCCTTCCTGTATGTGTCAGGGCCAGGGAAGTAGGTGAAGGTTGGGCAGCCCAACAGACAAGCAGGAAAAGCTCTGTCACAGGCTGCAGATAAAAGGAGCCTGTGTCCCTTTCCCTTATTGTGAAATAACACAATTGATTTTTCAAATCAAAATCCCTTAGATTTGTAATGAGTTTCATGCTTACCTATTCTGTGTCTGGGGCTTCTAATTTCCTAGTTTTAGAGGATAACTATGAGAAAGAAACAATACACACCATATTAAAAAAAAAAAATCCCTGTATATATCTAGACAGGCTGAAAATGTTAACAGAAGACAGGCCAAAGAATATCTTTATATTTCTGAAGTATGCAATATTATAATTATATAGAATAAAAGAGGTGCAGATATTAGCTCATGACTATTTTGCTTTGTTCCTCCCTGTTTTCTTTCTATCAATATGCCCAGGTATCACCATCTTTTGATAAATGTTTTCCTGTTGTATATTGGTCTGCAAAAGTTAAAAAGTACCAGTTATCACTGTGTTCCCAGAAGGTTATTAAAAGGAAGAAGAACAGACTCAGTTTTGGTTTTTTGATAAGAAAACAAGATGGGTAGATAAAGTGTAGGCAGTAGGTCTTGTAAGGTCTACAGACAGAACGAGCTATATTCTAACACTAACTCTCTGCATCTCTACAAAATTATACAAATAAGAGGAAGCATTTCAGAACAATCCTCTTAAAGTATGAGATATTCCTAAAATGATTAAGAAGTGCCATAGTATATCTCTTGACTAGGAAGGAGTTTAAAGTCGTCAATACTAAGACGGAGAGGGACATGTTTCACCTGTGCTGCTGTATCTCGGCACAAACAGCTCTGCTTTGTCCTGTGACTCTTTAGTGTAATGAGCTTGATGGGAAAAGCATCAGTTCCTTTTTTGTTGGGCATCTGCATCTTTGAGCTGCAGTCATACATCCTCTTACCCCTCTGACCCAGCCAGTCTGGAAGAGGGATTTTTACGTGAAAAGCTGAGCTTCCAAAGAAGGGTGAGAACAGCATACAGAAGTGCACCACGGTTTTTAATGAGCATAGGAGGTCCGTCTAACTAAAAAGAAGAGGGGAGTGGGGAGGAAGGGGGCTGAATTCTACATACCCTTCAAGTTCTCTAACTGCAGAGCTTTAAGGTTAAGCAGGGAGAGGGAGAGGTGAGGTTACCCTCCCCCTGGTACAGTGAAGGGATTTAAAGATATTTTTGGTCAACAGTGACAGCAATGTTTCCACATGAAATTCTTAAAGGGTGGATTTTCAAGTATTCTAGCTCAATTTAAATGCATTCATAGAGGCAGTGGGACAACACAGCCACTTACCAGGTCATACAGGCATTGCCCAACATCTCTAAGATATCAAAAAGAAACATAGACAAGGACAGCAGAACCAGGCACACTGGTCTGCTAGGCAAACAACCACATTTCCAATGCATTAAATTGTCATAGACCAGATGAAACTAATAGATACAGACAAAAGCCTACCTCTACTTTACAGGAAATCTTGCTATAAGCAGTGATTTTACCACGAGAAAATGGACACATTTTGGGATTTCTCTCTCTTTAGGTAGCCAAGACCTCAGTTTCCATTTCCATATGAAAGATTCTTCATCTGGAATTTATGAAGTTAACTCAGCCTTACTATGGGCCTACAAATAACTGCTCCATCTCTGAGTATGTTACCTTTGTTTAAGTTTTCCCAGGGTTTTTACATAGTAAACAAGGAAAGAACGACTCAAACAGGCTGGCATCAGGTTTACTTATAAATCACTATAAAAGCAGAATACAGCAAAGCCACTGGAAACAGATGTTTTATTTCCTATCATATTCTGCAGTTGTCGTTGATAAAGAAACTAAAGCTGATTTAGGGGGCTTCTTGTGCAATTCCCTTCCCCCTCCCACCCATTCATTCCGAAATATTTGAATTTCAGCACAAAGAACAGCAGTAAACAAAGGGTCTAGCAGATGGTTCAGAGTGGAGTTATCGTTCATGGTATCTCAATGCGTGCAAATGTCTCGCGTTTCTTGCAAGTTATTTTGCAGAAGGTGTTAGATCTCAATCAACAACACAAAGGATTTAAACACCCAGACACTGGAGATGATCTCCACATCAAAAAAGTCTCAGCGGGCTACCACCCCCTAGACTAAAACAGGTAGCACAACTAATATGGTAGTAGATTGAAAAACAAGAGGTAAAAGAGGCAGTCTGATGGGAGCTTGTACTTGCTCTTGATTTTGATTTTACTCAAAACTGTGAAGTATTCCATGTCTTCTGTTGAAATCAATAAAATCAGAATTGTTTCAGTTAGAACCCTGGATGAGGTGCTGCTTCTGCTACCAGGGCACTCAGTGGGGAGGACTATTCTCAGCAGTGAACTCAAAGGAATGGGAGAAGGTGGGAGTGTCTAACTGACAAAACTTGGACAACTGAATGATGTGTTTCTAGAGTACAATTTTACCTCCAATATTACATATCAGCCTTTTACAGCACCATTTGGTTTGATGTGAATGCGTGATTAAAGAACCCCTGCAAAATATTTTGCAATACACTCATAAATCTACATAGGTATTAATGGGCTCTGTTGTATGTCAAGGAGGAATTCATCAGCGTTTACCCATATTCTGCTGGGTAGCTGGCAGAATCTGATATCTGTTGAATGCTGAAAGAAAATCCAGTTTGTGTTTATTCTGTGGCAAGATATTTTGATTTGACTCTTTGAAGCTGAGGAACTAAATGGG